TTCCTCTCCTAGACATATACCCAAGATTAACGAAAACTTATGTATACACAAAAACTTGTACGGAAGTATTCCTAGCAGCATTTTCATAATAGCCCAAAGTAGAAATAATTCAAATGTCCATTGACTGATGAATGAATAAAGATTGTATATCCATACACTGGAATATTATTCAGCCATAAGAAATACTGAAGTACTGAGCCATGCTAAAGCATATTTGGGCTTTGAAAATACCATGTCAAGTGAAAAGACCACATATTATAGGATCTCCTTTATCTGAAATGTCCAAAGTAGGCAAATCTATAGAGGTAGAAGTAAATTAATGGTTGCCAAGGACTGGGAGAGGGAGGAACTAAAAGGAAAATGGCAGGTAGCTGACAATTGTTAAGAGATTTCTTTTGGGGATAGTAAAATATTCTAAAATTGTGGCAATAGTTGCAGAACTCTGAATATATTTAAAAATGGATACATTGTATGGTTTTGAGTTGTATCTCAATAAATCTTCTTATCAAAAAGAAAGAAAGAAAGAAAGAAATGGCAAGCAAGAAGATAAAGAACCAAATTAAACTTTAGAGAAATCTAACCATCAGAGGGAGAGAATACTTTGGCCTTCTGTCTCTGGGACTAGTCCTTCAAGTAGAGTCATTTTCTTTTCAACTCATACAAGAGACAGTTGCCCACTGGTGAGCATCACTCTGATTGCAGCTTAGAACATTCCCCTCTGACTATGTTCTGGGCACTTATGTAGGAGAAAGGCCAAATGGCTAACCCATTTTCTGATTCCCTTCATGTAGTAAGGGCACAGCTGTGCTATTTGTGATACACTGTCTTTTCTATTTGTCACATATGTTAACTCATTTTTTTTAATGTAAACTTTTTTTGGGGGGTGTGGAACTGGGGTTTGAACTAAGAGCTTCACACTTGCAAAGCAGGTACTCTACTGCTTGAGTCATACCTCTAGTCCATTTTGCTCTGATTATTTTGCAGATAGGGCCATGAGAACTGTTTGCCCAGGCTGGCTTGAACCTAGATCCTCTGCATCTCAGCCTCCCAAGTAGCTAAGATTATAGGCATGAACCACAGGGGCCCAGTGAAATAAACTTTTGTTTTAATGATACAACCTAAGTTGTGTTTATTCAATTTATCTTTTATAGATTTTCAAATTTATGAATGTCATAAAACAAAAATGCCTAATCTAATCCAAGCTAACTTTGCATTTTAATCACAATTCATTCCACCCTCAGGTATATTGTGTTCTTGCTACAATTTATTGTTTTGGTCCTATTTCAAATTGTAATGGGCAACGCTGCTGTTGGCCCTGATGAAGCTTACCAAAATTCAAAGTGCAGGAGATAAATACTTATTTGCCAGTCTTGGCCAAACAGAATTAATATAAAGACTATGAAGGGCGAAAAGAGAAGTTAAGGCAATGGTGTGAGAACTATGGCAAAGAACAGATAGCATTTGCAATCTGGGAAAACAATGAGAAATAAGAACAAGATTTTTATTCCTTGACACGGAAATTGATTCTGCTTAGGACTGGCGAGTGTTTAGCCTGGTACCAGAGGTAGCTTAGCAGACCCATTAGACCTCTTTCTACTTCTCTGCATCACCTTTGCCCTTCCCCAAACAACCCCAGTCCAACTCTCCTCCCTCCTCCATCCCTCACCCCCTAGCTCTTCTCCCAGTCAGGAACATTTCTTCTTTCCATCTTCTCTGTTTCAACAAACTGCATATGTTTTCCATAAGGGTAGCCTATCTTGCTAAATATCGCTAGGTTGTGGGAAATAATTTGATAGGTTAATTTATTCTGATTTAAGGGTTAGATCTCCTTAAGGGTATTGGGATTAAAACAAAAGGTCCTAAAATAAAAAGAAAAAACTTAACCAAAGGGGAGAATGGACAGCAGTGGAGTTAGAAGTCTCGAGGCATGTCTGGGACTGAGGCATTTTTGAATGAAGGTAATTACTTAAGTAAAAGTCAAGACTATTTGCAAATGATTTGAATTTGAAAATGATTCTTTTCCTACTGTCAAATTATATATTTCTCTGTGGCTATTAATTAAGTTTGTCAAGGTATTTATTTGTATGGCATTTTCCCACATTTTACATAAACCATCTCTTTGGCTGGGGTGGTGCTCAAGTGACAGAGAAGTGGCTTAGCAAGCAGGAGGCCCTGGGTTCAATCCCCAGTACCACAAAACAAAACAAGGCAAAGCAAAACAAAATATAAAACATCTCTTAAGCCAAGTCATAAGTGCCCTGAAAGATGAAAACCTAGTCGTGAAGTGATTTGAACAGAGCTAGTGTGTGGCTTTAACCTAGGTCTGTCTGGAAACAAACATTCCTGCTGTCCTGGCTTTCTAGTTTGCATTTCAGAAACAGCCCTGAAGAGGTTTGAGTCCTTGGTAGATGCTGACAGCACAGGGTCAGATTGTTCTGAAGTTTGGAATGCAAATATCAATTCCAGAGGATGATGCCTTGGACGGTTAGCTGCAGAGTAAACTGTTTTTACTTACCTAAAGAACAAATAAAGCTGGTAGTTTTCTACTTTCTTCCACCTCATAGATTTTTTGCATCAAGATGGCAATGGGGTGAAAAGTTCATAACTTGGAAAATGTTTCAAGTTATAGTTTAGGGATTAGAAAGAGAGTTCTTACTGTCTTTTAACTTGTTTCCTTTACTTCTGGAATGTGGGCATCTCCCAAAATAGAAATGAGATGACAATACTTTCATTTATTTTTTTTTCCCTCTTAAAAATGATTTTGTGTTCTTATTCTGAAAAATCTGCATGTTTCACAGTAATATTTGAATGTTTCAGAAGTTTTGCCTATTTTATTTTATTTAGCAATTCTGGTGTTTGAACTCAGAGCTTCACACTTGCTAGGTAGATGTTCTACTGCTTGAGCCATGCCTCCAGCCTCCCCCAACCCCGCCCACCCTTATTTTTGTAGTTATTTTTGAGTCTCGCTTTTTGCTCAGACCAGCCCGGACCATGATCCCGCTATTTTACCCTTCACACCATAGCTGGTGTGACTAGCTTTTTTCTTTTGAAATGGGAGTCTCTCTCACAAACTTTTTACCTAGGCTGGCCTGAAACCACAATCCTCTGGATTTTAGCTTCCACAAGTAGCTGGGATTACAGCCTTGAACTATGAGGCTCTCTTCCCCCATTTTAAATGTGACATGTAAATGACGGTAAACTCTTCCACAGCAAGCCCAGTAACTGTCCATCATGGCACTGACCTTGCTCAGATTGACTTTCCGAAGTAAAATCCACATTAATTCTTTAAAAATCCTGGCAGTGTTGTGTGTTACCTAGAGAACTTGCCCCCTCTCACTGTTCAGAGAGAAGGCTTTTCCTCCCCTCCCCCTTTTTGACATATTTTTTTGGTTCAGATCCTTATGCATCTCTCCCTGATAAGCACAGTTTGATTTGTAGCTAATTGTAGCAACTGATTTTCATTATTTATGCGTGTCATTGTCAGAATCCATTTGGAAGTCTAACTGAGATAAGGCTGATTCCAAGTCCTGATATGACCACAGCAATAAAGCAATTAACCACACTGGTTAAAACGTGCTGAGGCCTGGAAGAGCAGATATCCTTACAACCAAATATTTACAATATTGTGCATTATGTTTGATTTATTTCCTACAAGAGTCAATATACTATTTTATCACAAATAAGTTTATATAATACCCTGTTTTAAAAAATGGAATGTAGATTGCTCATACCAGCAATTAGCTTTAAAATGTTCTTCAATTTAAAAGCGAGAAGTAGGAAAATTAAAACTGGGAGGTATATAAATGCTTACTATTCTTAAAAGGTTTGGTTAAATAGTGGTATGTAAATCAGTGTTTGTATACTAGCATTCTTTATATGTATTTGATTCTGGTTGCTACCCAAGTCTCTGACTCTCTCATGTGGGTAAGAGATAAGAAATGGAAGAGCTGTATAAATACATTCTACAAGCAAACATTTTTCTCACTCATCTCACCCATAGTATCATAAAACATATGTGAAATTTCAAGAATAAATACAGATTGGAAAAGTCATTAATAGCAGCAGTCATTTTAAAGTGTCACCTAATTTAAACACATTGGCTTTAAGTTATTGCTGTGTCATGAGTTTTATTATGCTCAATTTATTAGTAAAGGCGTGCAGGGTTCACAGCCACTTATTTTTCAGGGAACTTGATTTTATCATTAATTTTTAAATATATAATACTCCCACTTTATTTTTAGAGTGCACTTTATTTGCAAGAATTGGTTTACTCAGATCAATACAGATGTTTCCAGGTGTTTATTAAAGCAGAAAGTCTAAAAGTCAAAGGTGTCCAAAGCGTGCTTTGAATTTTCAAGATGCTATACTACAAAATTTACTGTATCTAACACACACACACACGTGCACGTAAGCACACACACAAAATGCATGTTTATTTTGGTTACTGAATTTAAGTGGAAGATTTAATAAGATTATTTTCCTATTTCTATTTAAGAAGTAAAATTCTTGAAGGAAAACTTTTTTTTAATTTTTCCCAAAAAGAGTGACATCTGAGTGGGAAAATCCCATCCAGTTTAGGATCAAAACCTAGTTTAGGACTGAGCCAGGTTACAAGTAATTCTGACCATTTCTACTGCTTCCCAAGTCTGCTAAACAAAATTCTGCCATGGGTAAGGAGTCCTTTCTTTGGGTTGTCTTCATGCTCTGACCCACTCAGCCATCTCTGGAGATGCTTATGGGTATAAACAGTTGATAAAAGGATCTCTGAGCTGGAGCAGTGGACAGTCAGCAGTGGAACCCATCCTGCCCTCCCAAAATTGCATCCACTTGACCATAGGCCAGTCAGAGCTAATGCAAACACCTGGTGCTAATAGCAGAAAGCCTGAATGCTTGAGTGTTTATTTCAGGGAGATTTTTTTCCTTAAATTAAAAAGCAGCTAAAGTAAAGCTAACACTAATCATATACTCACTAGTTGTTATCTTTTTTTCCCCCTAATTAGGACAGAATTTTACCCTAAGGCAGTTAGGAGTTTGTGAACCAGCAACTGGAAGAGGACTGGCATTTTGTGCGGAAATGGGGCTCCCTCACAGAGGTTACTCTATCAGTGCAGGGTCAGATGCTGATACTGAAAATGAAGCAGTGATGTCCCCAGAGCATGCCATGAGACTTTGGGGCAGGGGGGTCAAATCAGGCCGCAGCTCCTGCCTGTCAAGTCGGTCCAACTCAGCCCTCACCCTGACAGACACGGAGCACGAAAACAAGTCCGACAGTGAGAATGGTAAGTTTCATTTTTGCTTTACTATGTTGGCATTCAGTGCCTCTGTCTGTTTTGGTTGACTATGGTTCATGTTTTCCTTCTTTTCTTCTTTCCTCCCATTCTTCTTTCTTCTTCCTTTCTCTTTTGTTTTAATGCAGTAGAACCCAAGAAATGCCCTTGAATTATGCATTTTTTCCTAGAAAACAAAATCAGTATTTGACATCAGATTGTTAAATTATGCAAACAGTCTACGTATGGTGTGTTAGTTATGGTTTTGAAAAACAGTTTAATCATGCACAGAAAAAAAAAAAAAAGATTAGCTTTGACTTATCTTGGACCACGTCACCTGTGTTCTCTGTGAGTAGCAGACCAAGTGTTGATAAAGTTTACCCCAGAGCCTGCTTGCAATCAAAGATGTCTTTGTAGATTCTTCTTGAAGATATCTTAAAGAAGTTGCAGAATCTTAGAATGGATGAGTGAGCACACAGAATAGTTTATTAACAGGGCTCAAGTGATTGAAGAACAAATTTGATCGTGCTTTAAACTTACTAGTTGATGAGAGCAATTGAAATCTTAGTGGATGGGGGAGTGTGGCCTTTGATGTGCATTGGGACCTGGATTACTGTGCAATTAAATCACACACAAAAATTGGGTTCAAGGATATCCAAATAGCAGCTTTACATATTGTAAGAAAAAATGTCATTATAAATTACTGTACTTCTATCCTATTGCAGATGTGGAATAATTTTAAAAAGTTAATTTACATACAATAATAAATTTTAAAGAAAATGTAATTTTTAGTCATTGCTGCTCCTAGGAAGAATTGGAACATCAGCACCAACACACCAGACAACAAAAAAACACTTCTCCTTCAGCTTTTAATATTAACAATGCACTTGCCACTTCAGTCTGTCTTTTAATGCTATACATATCCAATACATCAAAACAGCAAAGAGAAAATTAAAATAGAATTGCATGACATTTGAAAAGGATGGTTGTTTTATTAGTAATATTTCATTTTTATTATTTATTGAGCAACTTTGTCAGCTTTGCTTTGTAATAGGATTGCAGATCTATGTGTAGCTTTTGGTTTCAGCTCAAAGTATGAGTGCTTCCCACTGCTTACCATGCATTTCCTTTCTGTTTGTGGGGGGAAAACAGTCTAATTTAAGCCATTGAAAACAACTTCTTATCCTATGTAGAATACTTTAGTGCGTTAAATCAAAGTCAAGATCAATTGATAATGTCCACTCAAATTTTCATTTTGGAAGTGTGGGTTCTTGGTAGAGGCTGACTTTATTCAATCCAAAGCAAGAAACAAGGGTAGTTCTTTTTGACAAAATGAGGCTTCGAATCAGGCTGTCAACATTTCCCTCAGCGAATCCATTCCACCTCAGTAATTCCTGTATTTATTTCAATTTTCATAGTGGATTCAGAAGTCACTAAATCTAAACTTTTTTGGTTTGATATAAATATTGCTTATCATCATCTTCACTGTGCATAACATCCTTGAGCAATCACAGGTACGTGGTTATATTCAAATACTGCACTTGGCATTCAATTTTCCTAAAATACACGATAAAATTTACAATATTACAAAAGAGGAGAATGTAGCAAAAAAACACATTTGGTTCTGATTATCTGCATCATAGATATCCACATCCATATCAATTAAACATTTCTCACATTGAGTCAATTTGCTCTTTTCACCCAACGTTTTTGTAGCCCTTTTCTCTCTCTAATAACAAGTGTATCTTGTTATCATACTTATATTGGTAAAATGTAAATTAATTTATTATTTTTTAAAATGATATGTTGCTAAAACCATCTCGTGGTGAATTCCCAAACATGCCATTTTTTTAAAAATTTTTCACAAAATTTAAGATAACAAACTTTAAGACCTTTAATTAGCAGTGTATGATATTCAAATGACTGGGAGTAGAGAAGAAAGACCTGCGAGTTTCTCACACCACTGCCTGTCTCCATTTACATGGATTATTAGTAACTAGAGGAGGAATTTGTTAGGGAATCTTACAGACCTTGCTCTTAGAGCAGTGGGAGGGCAAGAAGAGTTGCATCCTTTCATTTCCTCAAATGGTGGTTATGAAGCAGAATGAAGAAGGACAGGGAAAGAGTTTCAGGGGCCTTGCCTTAAAATTCAGAACACTTGGCAGCATTTGTTGAGAGTAAACAGGGCAGCTAAGTGAAGGGTATGAAGTGTCAAGAGCAATGTTTGTTGAGTTGGGCAGTATGTTTGTGTTTACTCTTTTCTCAAGGTTTTGGTTGTGATTATTTTTTAAACAACATTTTGTTGGTTTAAGAATTCCCAGTGAGGTCAGTTTAAGGAAGGAAACAAGAAGAAAGAAAACAGATATATTATCTTAATAAGCACTTGCTATTTCATATAGCAGGAACATTTCAAATTAATTTATTTGTTCAGAAATTTCAGTGATTATTCAGAAGGCACAAGAATTCATTACAGTAATTAATTACATTAAGATCTTGGAAAGCATAGTTTTCTGAAGTACTTACTAGATTTTAGAATTTTGAGTTATGGAATTAAGCAAGGGCATTGTGAAATTTTTTCCTAACTAAGGAAACAAATGTTTTTTGTGTTCTTAACCTGGGTTATAATAAGAACTAAATGTGTAATCATATGTAAGTTCTTCTAGCATGTTTTAAAATAATATCCTCAAAATATATATTTGTATTACTACTTCTAGTCAAATATTTCTAATAAAAATTACTAAGATAATTGGATTCTACTCTTTTCAGGTATTTTAAGTTGCTCTAGGTTTGAAAGACTATCAATCTTTCTGTTTTATTTTCCTTTGACTCATCAGTTGTTTTCATTGTCTAATTTTATTCACTTGTGGAGTGGCTTGAAAAGTCCTATTATATCAGTAAAGGTTGAAACAAGAAGGACACGGGTCAAATAACTCACCAAAATGAAATGAATTTAAGAACCAGACACTGGTTTGTTTTCATCCAGGTTAACATGGGAGTTTTCATTGATTGTTTCCATCATTCCAAATAACTGGGAATTAGGCTGTTTCCCCAGGAAAAGATGTTATTCAACATTTGTAAAATTGAGCAGAGTGCCTGATGTTTTAGTTCTAACTTTAAAGAAGAGTTTAGTCACTGAAAGATTAGATTTCATTTATTTACTGATAAGGAGGCCAACAGTTCAAGTTAAGAAGGTGCTAGAACTGCTGTGAGGCTAATGAAATTTTGATGGCTGGAGCATCCCACAAGAACATTCTGACCATGTCACATGTCTTCATGTGAGCAGAGATTCAAAACAAGTGATAAAATTTATTCTTTTGAAAAACTAACTTTTTTTTTTTTAACCAGCCATGAGAATTTGAAGTTAAAAAGACTTTGGAGGGGAAAAAAAAAAAAGCTCTTTACAGTATATTGAGTTTCATATGGAATTAAGGATATGGGAAAAGTCCTTTCTTGACACTTATTGATGGCCGTGGTTGTCCTTGTTGTAAGTCACCTGCCATGCAGCAGTGCAAGTACTGGAGGGGCCGTGATTTGTGACCACCTATTATCAGCAGCTCTAGTAAGCTGTTGAAAGGTTACAAAATAAATGTGGTGGGATGCCCTAATCAAAGGTAAAGTTACCAGGGTGCACTGGATTATTTTAGGCCTCCTTCCTGCCTCTGATGTGCTGTTAAAAGAGCCCTGACTGAGTTCCCACTACCCAGCTTTGCCAGTAATCTGATCTTGAATCCCAATGTCTATTTAAATGTCAGGAACAAAGGACTCTTTACCTTTTCAAAGCATCAATCTTGAAGCCTTAAAAACGCTTGCATGTGCATCACTTCTCAGAAGCAGCTGGGCTATATTTATTCTTTGTCATGCAGCAGTGTGGGATCACAAAATGTGTAGGGATTCAGAGCCACAGTGGTCAGGGTTCAGATCCTTCGTCACCTGACACTGTCTCCTGAGTCACCCACACTGTGAGTCCAGCTTCTCTATCCTGGCCTGCTACTTTGTTGGTTGAACCACTCAGTCCACAGATGTAGCATTCCCTCATTTGGGGTCCCACAACTTGCTCCCTCCTTCCTGCCTTCTCTACCTCTTAGTGCCTTTTGGAAAAAGATGACCTTTGACCAAAACCACAAGTTTTTATTTTATTTATTTTTTATTTTTTATTTTGTTTGTTATTCATATGTGCATACAAGGCTTGGGTCATTTCGCCCCTCTGCCCCCCCCTCCTCCCTTACTACCCACCCTACCCCCTCCCTCTCCCCCTCCCCCCTACCCCCTCATACCCAGCAGAAACTATTTTGCCCTTATTTCTAATTTTGTTGTAGAGAGAGTATAAGCCATAATAGGAAGGAACAAGGGTTTTTGCTGGTTGAGATAAGGATAGCTATACAGGGAGTTGACTCACATTAATTTCCTGTGCGTGTGTGTTACCTTCTAGGTTAATTCTTTTTAACCTAACCTTTTCTGTACTTCCTGGTCCCCTTTTCCTATTGGCCTCAGTTGCTTTTAAGGTATCTGCTTTTAGTTTCTCTGCATTAAGGGCAACAAATTCTAGCTAACTTTTTAGGTGTCTTACCTATCCTTACCCCTCCCTTGTGTGCTCTCGCTTTTATCATGTGCTCAAAGTCCAATCCCCTTGTTGTGTTTGCCCTTGATCTAATGTCCACATGTGAGGGAGAACATACGATTTTTGGTCTTTTGGGCCAGGCTAACCTCACTCAGAATGATGTTCTCCAATTCCATCCATTTACCAGCGAATGATAACATTTCGTTCTTCTTCATGGCTGCATAGAATTCCATTGTGTATAGATACCACATTTTCTTAATCCATTCGTCAGTGGTGGGGCATCTTGGCTGTTTCCATAACTTGGCTATTGTGAATAGTGCTGCAATAAACATGGATGTGCAGGTGCCTCTGGAGTAACCTGTGTCACAGTCTTTTGGGTATATCCCCAAGAGTGGTATTGCTGGATCAAATGGTAGATCAATGTTTAGCTTTTTAAGTAGCCTCCAAATTTTTT